AAGCGTTTATTTGAAGTTGACATGTTAAAACGATCGAAAAGCAGCCACGGTGATGGTTCATATGTGAACAATTTTTAGGGATGCACCTTACGGTTTGACAACCCAAATCCCGTAGTATTTATAGAAGTGCTTTGAGCCTTTGTCTTATCAGTTCTGTGTGAAGTTGCTGGAAGCATAACCATCAAAAGCGAAAAATGGGATAAACGAGATTTTGACTGGACCTCATTCCATATTTTGGCGATCATATGAGGGGGAGCTGTCATACAGGCAAACAAGGAGAAGTGCTTTGTACTGACAGGGAAGGATGATCGGTCGAAGTGGCCATTTGAAATGAGCTGTATATCAGGAAACCGTCCTCGGTTAGGTAAACTCAAAACTACTTTCGCTAGGTGCCGAGCGGTTTTGTGGAGGGAGTTACAAGGCCATTTTCCTCCGGCGCAGCCGGTGCACGCAGTGATGAGCGAGGCGCTAGAGCAACCCAGCAGTGTGTTGGTGGCGCAGTGGCAAGACAACGGACTACAAGGCAGATGGTCGAGGGTTCGAGGCCTGTTGCTGCTACTTTGTTTTGCAATTCTGTAAAAAGTCTATTGGGTGACAGTAAACGAAAAATACTCATTTCTAGGCAGTTAAAACAAGCTATTTACTGCAAAAAAGTCCTATTTCTACAATAAGCTATGATCTTCTACAATATGTAAATCTGTGGAGGTTATGATGTCACAACAATGGATTCAAATAATATATTAACATGTATGGAATACAATCACAAAATGCTCAGAGCAGAAGAGCTTCTCGCAGCGCGCATATCGGATAAAATATAAACGATGACAATCAGCAGCTTCACACCTATCAAAGTCGGTGAAAAACAGTACAGAATAGGAGACTCGAATTCGCCGGGGTGCTTATCAATGTATCCGGCTGCGCCATGGGTATGAAAGAAAATTTTTTAATCGCGGCGAGCAAAACTGTGTGTAAATGAGCGATAAGATCTTAAGGATGGAATCGCTATGATGCAAAGTAAAATTCAGATCGAGAGCCAATACATGGGATGTGAATCGATTGCAATTTTTCAAGTGCGCGCGCTGCGAGAAGCTCTTCTGCTTTGAGCATTTCGTGGTTGTATTCCATACCTGTTAATATATCATCTGAATCCATTGTGTGACATCATAACCTCTACAGATTTACATATTGTAGAAGATTATAGCTTATTGTAGGAACAGTGACTTTTTTGCACTAAATAGCTTGTTTCAACTGCTTAGAAATGAGTATTCTTCGTTTACTGTCACCTAATAGACCTTTTACAGAACTGCAAAACAAAATAGCAGTAACAGGACTCGAACCCTCGACCATCTGCTTCCTGGTACGCTGTCTTGCCACTGCGCCACCGCCACACTACTGCATGTTCTAGCGCCTCGCTCATCACTGGGTGCGCTGGCTGCGCCGCCGAAAATGGCTTTGTGCCTCCCCCCACAAAACCGCTCGGCACCTAGCGAAAATAGTTTTGAGTTTGCCTTACCGAGGACGGTTTCCTAATATACAGCTCATTCCAAATGGCCACTTCGATCGATCATCCTTCCCTTGTGAGTGCGATAAGAGGTAGTTGACTCATCTATAAGGCAAAATCAATCGTGCTTGAAGATGACCGTTTCATGCCCAATGTTTGAAAACCTCGGAGTTCGTTAAAACTTTACCCACGGGGTTGACGTGCTAATTACGAATATGTTACTCACTATGCTCAGTAGGATCTCTGCGTTTTACCAAAGGTACAATACCACTGGAGTGCACCGGAATACGCGTCGCATCGCCATATCTCGCTTGAGAATAGACGTATTCTGAATCCATAACACTGTTCGATTCAGCTCGGCGAGACGCATCATCTAGCATATAGAAGTGCCACAATCTGTCGGGGTACGGTAGGTATACGGTCGACAGTAGGTTTTCGCTCAATTTTGCAGGTTTTTGTTGCCCTAAAATCCCGCCAATAAGTCCGGATAAAAAAAATAAAAAGTATAAATAGATAAGTCCGGACTTACTGGCGGGATTTTAGGGTAGATTGGTTGTTCAGTGTGCTGATAACAATACTGATATTGATTTGCTGCTGAAGGCACCGTAAGGATACTGTCGGAGTATGGTAGAGAGTCTCTCAAATCGAATTTGTCCAAAAATCAAATCAAGGTACAATATCCCTCACAGGATGTGCGGTTTTGAACGTCGCAAAATTCCCGGAATTCCGCGACATTCTGGGAATTCCGCGACACTTCAGGAATCCGCGAATCCGAAATAACGGAAATCATGCAAACTACGCAGCACCTAACTTTCTTCGGAATGAATATATTCTGAATCAGGTAACGGCATTGTGTTCTCGTCAGGGCAAATGTTTTGATGTACAGCATGCCCTCGATATTCCGTTCCTAGTTTGATATAACATAGCCATAAGAGGTTTCAGTAAGCACTATTCGATAGCACTGCTCTTGCAGGCTATCGTGCGCTAAGTAGTAGCGCAGACTTCTTTTCAAAAAAGATAAAGCGCGAATTCTGATACGCGTTTCCAAATTCTACTCGCCACAACTTCCTTCGGAATGAATATATTCCAAATCAGAAAAAAGCATTGTACTCAGCTCATCAAAGCATCTTTCGATTTACAGCCTTCCACGTCCTTGATGTTCCGATTTCAGTATTCTTGAATTTTTCTGCGGGCCTCTGTTCGCAAAAGTGTAAAGCAGCGTATACAGCAGACCTAGTCGCATTACCCCTAGCAGACTACAGCAAGGGCCATTCGATAGTACTTCATCCGTAGATTATGGATCTCAAAAAGTAGCCGTAGGCCCCTTTCCAAAGGAAATAGAAGGGCTGGTGAATTGTAGAAAAATCTTGTCGTCCCAAATTCCTCTCGTCATAACCCTAGAATACGGAGCTGTCTTGCTAACAAAGGAATGGTCAGAAGTCGAAGTGGCCAAACCAAACAAGCTATATACCATTCGATGCAGTATAAAACGCTGACTTAGAATCTGTATTTCTTATCTGCTTCCCGCTTCTGTGGACGAAGCTACAAGCGGTTTTATTGTGAAAAAATCACACATAAAAACAGCGAAATTGAGCACACTGTTGCACTTTTAGCTCAGCTTCTTTTTTTTTAAATTTGAAGTAGGCTAGCTGCATGTTTTGGCCCAGCATTAAGGCGAACGTGGCTCTGCACGGCTAAATCTTCAATTTCACGCTCAATTTCTTAGCAAAATAATAGTCTTTAATGGCTTGTAGCTTCGTCCACAGAAGTGGGAAGCAGATAAGAAAGACAGATTCGAAGTCAGCGTTTTATACTGCATCGAATGGTATACAGCTTGTTTGGTTTGGCCACTTCGACTTCTGACCATTCCCTTGTAAGCAGATGTGATTTTTATAATTAGCAGGTGGGATAACGTCTATGAGCACGTCTTCTGATATGTTCGCGTTATTTCATTTTTTCTCGTTTTACGCTCTGAACTCGCCGATGGATTTTGGTAAAAACGTTGACGTATGACGCTCGCATTGCGGATACTAGGTTTGCTTCGCCCAGTGACTCCCACTGTATTGAATAGGTGCTTGCATGTGCTTCGGCTGTGCATCGAATATCAAAGCTATTTTGTGGCTAGAGCTCAAACTACCAAATCTAACACAATAAGATCCATTAAAGATGTGAAAAGATTCGATAAGCTGAAGTACAACCACTCACGGTGGAATTTCAACGAAATATGCGATCTTTACATTTTGGGCAAAATGCATGAGGACGTGTTTTCGTAGGCTCGGAACTCTGCGCTTTCCATAAATTGGAGTTTGATTCATGCACCATTCGATAGCACAGCACCTAGTAACTTTGATTTAGAGAAGCAAGCAGGCAAGTTCTCTGACAGATACGCGAGAAGTGCGGACAAAGTTACGCATTTTCGTGATGCAGTTACAGTCACCTCACCGTATCTCTCCAAAAGACCCTGTGATCCTCAAAGATCACGATTTTCGTAAAGAGCGTGTTCGAAAGCCTCTATAGGCGGAGTTTTCTTACAATTCAAGAGCGTCATATCTCCTCTAGAAAGGGCCTACGGCTACTTTTTGAGATCCATAATCTACGGATGAAGTACTATCGAATGGTCCTTGTAATCTACTAGGGGTAATGCGCTGCTGTATACTGCTTTACATTTTTGCGAAGAGAGGCCCGCAGAGAAATTCAAGATACTGAAATCGGAACATCAAGGACGTGGAAGGCTGTAAGTCGAAAGATTCGCCTTGATGAGCTGAGCACAATGCTCTTTTCTGATTTGGAGTATATTCATTCCGAAGGAAATTATGGCTGCGTAGTCTGCGTGATTTCCGTTATTTCGCGGATTCCTGAAGTGTCGCCGATCCGGAATGTCGCGGAATTCCTGGAATTCCACGACGTTCGCGGAGACTGCACATCCTGTGAGCGGTATTGTACCTTGATCTGATTTTCGGACAAATTCGATTTGAGAGATTCTCTACCATACTCCGACAGTATCCCTACGGTGCCTTCAGCAGCAAATCAATATCAGTATTGTTATCAGCACACTGAACAAACTCTAACAAAAACCTGCAAAATTGAGCGAAAATTTACTGTCGACCGTATACCTACCGTACCCCGACAGACTGTGGCACTTCTATGTGCTAGATGATGCGTCTCGCCGAGCTGAATCGAACAGTGTTATGGATTCAGAATACGTCTATTCTCAAGCGAGATATGGCGATGCGACGCGTATTCCGGTGCACTCCAGTGGAGTGCGGCGCACTCCGCTGCTCTCCGACGCACTCTGCCCCACTCCGGCGTACTGCAGCACACTGTGGCGCACTCCGCTAGAGTGCGGCGACTTTTTTGACGAATTATGAGCGGTATCGTAGGTAGACGATGATGCTTGGGGGGGGGGATAGGATATCGTATCCGGTCATGTGTCACGCCTCTTGCTCGATCTTGAATATGACAGAAGCATATTTCTCTAATGTGAAGAAACAGATTACTTCATGCGTCTTCAAGTTTATTTATATACATCCAGGTTTTACAAGCGTTCACAAGGACTAGTCTAACCACATCACACTTCTTCCCGTGCACCACTCGTAGGAATCATTAAAGGCGTGAGGGTTGCAGCTACCAACTCAGGTTCTGTCGCAGATCATGCAAAACATCCATCACAATTCCGACGTTCATACTCAAAAAATTCATGCTTGTCTCGATAACTCCAAAGATGTGCATCGATGCGGCTTCATCGCTTAGATCCAATCTCAGTCGTTCTTCCACCTATAGGAAATGCACTGAATAAGCAAAGGTATTTAAATGAAAGGTTACCTTGAAAACAGCTTTGTCTCGCTCTTCGGAGATATTATGAATGCCAGCATCAAGCATGAGCGAGAAAAGGTTCAAAATAACATTAGCATGTCTTCGAAGAATACGGTAGGCAGAATCGCAATGCATACAAAAGTGACGAAAATGATCGCTGCAATAAATAAAAATTTCTGCAAAATAACCCCGCAATTGCAGACAGAAAAGTAAGAGTTAGACATAGCGCAAAGATGTTTATCTCGCTTGCATTTCACCACGACATACCTTTTTATTCCGCCCATTGCTTGAAGCATTTCACTGGTAAGCTTCATTGGAGGTGGTAAAGGTTTCGGGTCACGTCCCAATATGAATCCGAAGTCTACGTGGAACAAACGTCCATTTTCACAGAGGAGTAGGTTATCAAGATGTCGATCACCAACTCCGAGTACGTAGCACATTACGCAATATCTAGACTCAGCAAAATAATGAAACAGTAAAAATTCTCAATGATTTGCTTATCTATTTTTGACCAACAAGAAGGCAAGATCATCTCCGATACATAATGGAAATAAACTGAACACAATCACACTGTTCTAAACGAAACAAACCCAGCAAGCGATCTGACGTAATTATCCACCACATCTGCTTCAATGCCTAGAGGACCATTAGCGTCTGGACGCGCTTCTTTCATGGCTTCCTATAATTTATATTTTGGTGTAAGCAGGAAATGGAACTTCCACGATTATATTTTCAAGGATTAAGCCGATAAAAAAATTATCACATACTTTTATACAATCCGTGTTGTATCTTCTGTATGTATTAATGACTTCTCGCAAAGGTCTAGCTTTTACGAACTGCACAAAACCTTCGTTGACACCAGTAGATAACACCTAGAAATGCCTTCAATTCAATGTTTTCCTCATTTTCCTGACCTACTCAAACTCACTGCATATGGTGTCAGTTTCAAGTCCAGTTGGTCCTTTTTGAAAAGAGTATCCATCAGTCGAAACATTTGAATAACAAGTTGATCCTGCCTAAAAACATCTACTACCTATTCCTATTTGCTTTTTAACTCAATCAATTTTGAGATATTTCAATGTGCCAACCTGAGATCGTCTCCCTGCTTGAAAATCACCGTATACTCCTTGTTTGTGTCTGTCCCAGTTATAGTGCGGAATGTCAACTTCACAGGCATCATCGCGCTGTTGAAGAGTACTGCTGAATCGGGCATTACCCCAGCAAGTCTGAACTTCAATCAGATTTCTGAGAAAAATTTTAATTTCAGTAAACTAACTTCACACTCGGATCCAACGGCAAGAGTAAGCCCCGCAGTTCTTTCATGTGTCGCGCATTGCTCAGCAACGTGCACAGAGCAGACTGGCGTAGGTCACGACGACTATGCTTGGCTTTCGCTTCTTGCATGAGCACCTTGAGATCTTCCACGAATTGCTAAATTGAGGACTGATGTGGGAGTTGATCTGGTACATCGCAAGACTTTTTCCAATTTATGATGTGCCCTAATGACAGTCACACTTCTCAGTGTGACAATATAAAGACACATTATAAATTAAAAGTCTGTCCCATCCAATCAGGCCAAGCCATAGCGAGAGCCCGCGTCCCTAGCGCTTTGCGACAGGCCTACGGTCTGCTTGTCTGCTCTCTCTTTAATCTCTTCGCTTTCTCCAACAGTTTGCTCATGCAGCGCAACGCGTTTGCGCTGCGAGCGCGCGACTTCAACCGTTTAACGTGACTGAGATTGAGACAGACCGTACATAAAGTACCGCTGTGATTAGCTAAGGTAATCAAAGTACCCTCGATATCATCCCATATGTCTTCCATCAACATGACGTGGATTACGTGGCTTGATGAGGCGCCGCCTCGCCTCGGGCTTGCGCCACGTTGCGTGCGCATTTTCGGCGTGATGTGGCAACAAGAAGAACGTGGAAAAGCCTGCGCCACGTTGTGTTGAACGCCACGTCGCGGCAAATGATGCGCTCGCAACGTGGCGCGAGCCCGAGGCGAGGCGGCGCCTCATCAAGCCATGTAATCCACGTCATATTGAGGGAAGACATATGGGATGATATCGAGGGTATATGCATATTACTTTACACTGACTTATAAGATTCTTTTTTGTTGCTTCTAACATAACTAGTAAAATGTTCGCAGGTAGCTAAAAGGGGAGTGTATTTAGTCGAAGTGGCTTTTCCATATGATTTTTATACCGTTTTGTAGAGCATTGAACGCCGATTCCAAATCTATCTTTGTTGTCTGCTGTCACCTGTGTAGGCCAAGTTATGTGATTTTTTGGAGCGCCAGATAAATCCGATCCCTCTCCTCAACACCAACACCTGGTGTTGACGTAGTGTGCCCAGATACTCAACACTGGCCTAATTGGGCATTTCCAAATATTTTGCGCTGGTCTCCACATTTGTAACTCAGTGCCTAAAGGCAGAGAAGATAGAGGCGACAGATTTGGAATCAGCATTAGTGCTCTTTCACTGATATAGGCTTCATCTGAAAAGACCACTTCTACATCTTATATATAAAGCTGAATGTCTGTTTGTCTGTATGTCTGTCTGTCTGTCTGTACGTATGTTCCGAATAGAAAATTCCATTTCTGAACCGATCCGGACCAAACTTGGCACACATACACTACGGGCCCCGGCGGGTGTCATAGGCTACTTTTCGTCATCGATCGATATCGATTTTATCGATTTTTTGCAAAACTTGAGCTACGGGGCTGGGAGTTGGCACAGGGGGGTAATCGAGCATGCTGATTACGAATACAACATTAGTTTTTAAAATCGTGCATTACTTTTATCGATTTTATCGATTTTTTTGCAAAGTTTGAGCTACGGGGTTGGGATTTGGCACAGGGGGTAATCGAGCATGCTGATCACCCCCGTGGGGGTGATCAGCATGCTCGATTACACCCCTCTGACAAATTCCAGCCCCCTAGCTCAAATTTTGCAAAAAATCGATAAAATCGACATCAATCGATAACGAAAAGTGGACTGTGACACCCGCCGGGGCCCGAAGTGTATGTGTGCCAAGTTTGGTTCGGATCGGTTAAGAAATGGAATTTTCTATTGGGAACATACGGCGGAGCCGGGTATGCCAGCTAGTTGATTATATGAATACAATCAATAGTCAAAGCTACACTGTGGTACAAGTGTGTATGCGTTGTTGATTTTGAGTGCGGATTTGACGCTTTTTACTGCGCCAGATCTGCACAATTCTACATTCTAAAATAACATCTTCCGAGAAATAACTAATTGGATGTGAAAGGTATTAACGAACCCGCTGCAGCCTCAAACTTTCTGCTTGTCTCTTCATTTCTGCCGTGCCACGTTGTAGAGTTTCTAATAAACGATTCAACAACCGTTCATAGACCTGAAATTCAAAAGAAGAACAACTTAAATTTTTTTGCTAAACCTTGTAATCGTTAAAAACTCCGTAGACATTCCATAAATATGATTAAGCAATTGCAAACAACAGAAAGTGCACCTTTATGTGGGAGTGATTTTGCCGATTTTAAATAATAAAAGGTGGAAACGGATTGAAACATCTATTTGATGTTGTTGTAGTTACAGAAAGAGAAAATGATGAAAAAATATGAGGACATTGTTGCAACCAATCATTGGAAAAAGTCATAAAACCCACCGATGATATTTGCTCGTCAGTCGTGCGTGTTGCTTCCATTTCAACTTTCAAGTGCCAAAATAGGAAATTTGCTACCTTTGGATAGCCTGTGGCATATCTAAACTGGAAATGAGAGCAAACAGATAAACTGAACACCTCGCCCCTTGTCATGCAGGAATTCGGCCAAAGACCCAAACTTAACAGAGGGGAAGAATTCAAGGAACAACAAAGCAACGGAATGCCCCCATTCAAAACCCACTTGACCAAAAAGGACGCCAAATCGTCGGTGGTCCTTGCTGCGAGGTCATCTTCCTCCAGCACGACAACCTCGGTAGCTTCAGTGGCCTGCGAATTAGAACACGATTCCATCTAAAGTGATTGCGCTTAGCACCGGTCTTAGTAGTAAAACTATGTAACGGTGCCTGTTAGTTTTGAGTCACTGTCATCTCATGCGATTTTACAAGAGCTACTGAAATTTTTGAAAAGCTAGCACCTGTTCTACGATTGCCGCATCTGTGGTGGGTAATGGTTCATACTTGAGCGCTTGTACCAGTTGTGGAAGATAAAGCAATACTTGATCAGGCGATGCTGCGTCGAAAAGTCGTGAAACAGCGTAGCACCTGTATGAATAAATTATCTACAAATTTCGCAGTTTAAATCACGGACTATTCAAGTCAAATTAACGCTCTTGCAAATATCAAAGCAAGAAGAGAATCTATAAAATACACAAAGGAGATACGACCGCAAGAAATTAAATCATGTATCAAAACAAAGTTCTGAAGCAGTCTAAGCGGATGGTCAATGGTCACATACCTGACAGCTGGATGTGTAAAAGCAGGAGATAACAATTCCAATGCATCTTCAGCTTCTATTGGAGTCCAGTCGCTGAAAGGTGAGATCAGCCAGTTCACACGAAGAAACAGATAAAGAAAATACAAAATACGGCACAAAGCTTTGGCTTCGCACTCCTACCCTTACAGAAAAGGTACTCGATATTTTTCATTTTAGAACAAAAATAGTCGATCCGAAGAGTGTAAATATAAACCCCTCCCATCGGATCTAATCTGCTACTACAAAATTACTGCTGTTATAAAATTAGGCAAGAAAGTGGTTGATATTTTTTATCTCTATGAAAACTTATTTACGTAAGGTTGCAACACTTTTCAGGGACATGGTTATTGCAGCACGCATTTTTTTTCTAATTCAGAAACTAGCGAAAATTCGAGAAGTCAAGATTTTTAGGTCTATTCGAAAAAATATATTGATTCAAAAACTTTTTACGCTCTCAAAAAACCGTACGAAGCTTCGAGACCGCCAACTGCCCCTTATAAGAAGTCGCTTAACAAGTTTAACAACAACAACGACGATGTTACTTCGCTGAAAAACTCACTTGAGCAAAGCCAACGCATGCTGTTCTTCACCTGGCTGATCCCAGTTAACGGACCGTAAGAACTTGTTAAGCGCCCTGCGATCAGCTTGCAGGAAATAACGGAATTTCCATACAAGATCCCTCTGTTCTCTCGTTAGTGACTGTGATGATGGCAGCTAAATTGGACTGTATAAGTAGAAAATAAAAATGATTTTTTTTGGCACTGCACCTTGATTATCGTTTCCAATCGATCCTTGGTCTGCTTGTTCGGCTTGAGTTGCTTATCCATAGCACCTGCGCGAGCGTTTCTTGTCATCACGTTATGCTTCGTCTCCGCCAGATTTTCGAGGCCCAATTCTGGATCAGTGAATCTCGTTGACGCCGCTCCAACACCATTTCCTCCCATAGATGTGACGATTCTTATCTATACCAAGAAAGAGTTACCAGATTTTCTTCAGAAAAAAGACTAAACCTACATCAGGAGTCGGATCCTCATAATAGACAACATCATAATGTTGACGATCATACTGTATTGATGCCATTTTAATGACAAGAAATAGATACCGCTGTGTTGCAGCGAATTTACGCTAGAACGCTCATGTCTACGGTAATACTCATATATATAAGACTCTTACATTGCTTCTAATTTCCTCCACTTTTTTCAGTGTGAAAGGGTCTAGCCATGGCACTTCAGCTACCAAATTACGCTGCTGGCGAGATACCTCAACTTATGAAAACTAATCTCATAGGCACTGTGAGAAACTTTCCGTACCTGCTTCAGCAGATCACTCAAATGACTGTCATTAGGGTCCGTGAACTTCCACTGCTCTTGACAATGATAAAGTGGATCAACCTCCTCGGACAGTTCCATCTAGGTGTCAGATACAAGAGGGAAGAACAAAATGACCTTAATCAACAACTTACTTGTACATCTAAGGTACCCGATTTTAGAACTCCGCGCTTGCTAAACAAAGGCAGCGTTGACTGCGCTATCAACCTCTTCGGTAAAGGAGTTGGTACTCCTTCTGGTCGCTTAGGCAAATCATCTGGTGGAAATAGCTCATCTGACTCTGTGCCTGCTGTCAGCTCCCATACAGAGAAGTGTATGGATGCATCACGACTCAGATCACAGTATCTAAAAACAGCTACCTTACTCCAGTCAAAGCTGCGACAACTTACCGCACGGGTAATGTCAACCACTCGCCCCAAGACTGTATGAGTCGATTACGGGAACGTTCAAGATCATCTGGTGGTGGTTTATAGGATGTCATTACCGAATATCCAACAGCTCTGCCATTGCAGTACACCTACAATGAAATTTATTGCGCGAATAATCCTGCCATTCTGGTAACATCGACCTACCGTCGCCTGTGCACAGAGTTGATGCAGCTTTCGGAGAGGATTATATGGATCACGATATTTTCCTTCAAAATCACATATTTTCACCTAAAATAATACGCAAACATTCGGAAAGATATGATGAGAATTTGAGTAAGGCAAGGCTCCTGTAGATTAGCTGTCAGATCACAGCTGTAGACGTATAGGAAGCAATCTTGTGACGTTGTGGTGCGCATCCGGGCATGAGCTGTGAGGGAAAAATCACTTTAAGACATTTTGACAGAACAAATTTGCCACTTGTTGAGGAAACAAAAGCGCCGGTAACCCAAATTTTTTACTTCGGAGAACTTAGAAAAGCATGCAGATCAAACCAAATAGTTGTAGAGAGAAAGAGCATAGAGAGATGATGCTGTGAAGAAATTACTTTTCCGTCTCTCCTTCAACGCTGCCATGCATAAAAAGATGATCAAACATTTCAAGAACTGCCAAAATGAACTCAAGTCAGGAAGCATAGTGAGGAACTCCACGTCACAATCAATTACGTAATTCGATGTCTCATTTTCATTTTACGAGATATTTGACAAAGATATACAAGTGTGTTAAACAGTTACTGCCACCAAATTTGAAAGCCAGTAAGATACAAACATTCGAACTCACACAGGTACAAAAAATACATACACATGAAATCGACAGCTACGCTAGAGTTAAAACTCGAGCTGCTAACTTACAATCAGTAAAATAAATATGTGTATAAGATAGGCTGATCCAGGAGTACGACGTTGGTCATACAATCTAGTAACTACAAAGACATAGAAACTTGGTACATTTATGTATAAGGCTGTGAAAACTTATCAAAATTAGTAGTCCGGTTCAGCTTTCCTCTTTTTGGACCTTCTCATCTCTCGAGACTGAAAAACAGAGTAGCAGAAAAAAAGACATGTATATATAGGTATGATGTCACTCACTGATTCGTCGTCCATGTTATCATTCTTGAGCATTGTTGGTGTTAGCGGTGCCCCTGACGAGGTTATGGTCGGTGGAGGTGGTTGTTGTGCGTGTTTCAGTGCGGCAGGAGATGTCACGGATGAGTAAGAAAACAATCTATCGGCATCCTTATCTGCTTTTCGAGAGGTAGACTTTTTGTCTAACTTCACTCCAGATTTTGATGGAGGCATCGCGAGAGCGTATCGGTCCCAACCTGAAGCGAAGGGCTGTTGCAATACCTATTGATACACAGCAAAAAACAAAATGTCGACTTAATACTTGATTTTTCATAGGCTTTTCATCCTAAAAGACTCAGCAAAAAGAATCTAACGTAAGAACTGAACAACCTCCGGAGACCAGTTCTCGTGCACATAACGCCATGTCAAAAACGCAAAATACTGACGTATAAATCAAGACAAAACTACGGCTTATATCGAGATCACCCCCCCCCCTTCCAGGAAGTTGTACAACTCACAAGATTCATAAAAACTCTTATATCCAAAAACGGACCTTTGATCACATTTCCATATTCTGCTGTTTCTTCGAGATAAGAACCTTCAAAGTTGTAAATTTGATTTTCTAGCGCTTCCAAAGTCTCCTGAAAAAAAACCATGGTTTTCGAAGTGAAAAACTCGAGAGGATTCTTGAAACGTACCGCGATTTCAGCACGCTTTTTGATCAGCTCGTTTAGTTCACGCCGCAGATCGTGCTGATCCTTGGACATCTAAGCAAGGACACATATGAGCCTTGCTGTTGAATACACGAACTAATTGCAGAGAAAAAAATTAGAGGATGACAACCAACAAACTCGATTGAAAACAAATCCAGCATAAATTTTATCATGACAAATCAAAAATAATTACATGTACTCACGAATATACTCGTAAACGATGAAGAAACCGAGACTGGTAAATGTACAGAGCACTATTATATACTTGACCGCATATTCATCTACTAAGGTCTAAATTTCGATAAAAAACAAGTTTTCCAGATCAAGCAGACCTACAATGGAAAATACCGCATTACAAGCATGAACCTACGGCAGTGCGTCGCAATTCACTTCTCATTCCTTGTTTCTGGTTGTGATAGCTACCAGAACCTTATCGATCTGGTCAATCCATCCGTTCATAGCAGAGATGGAGAGCGATGAGTCTTGTTTGTGTTCTGTGGTAGGTTTCACGTACAGAATGTTGTCGATCTCGTCGATTCTAGCAGGAAGACCTTTAAACAGACAAGTGCTGAAAAATTAGATGGAAGCAAGTATAGGAACATGCATTTTCGCAGATGAAGATAGGAGATTGATTTGAATCAAAAGCCCCATAAACAGAAGAAAATAATCTAATTCTATGTTTGTTTTGTCAAAACGCTCTGCTTATGAATAACAAAGAAGTTGCCGAGCAATAAGTTAGTGTCTACTAGCCCTTACATACCTTTTAGTAATGCTTGTCTCAACCACAATCGTGGCATTTGCAGATTTTTTCGATACCCTTCTTCACCCCTTTATGAAAACTGACACTTTGAAAAAATTTGCGTGCGATGTTACCGGGAGGAGTACAAGCCAAGCCTTGACCCAACAAAAGAAATGAATGGTCGATGCACTGGTCAACATGATCGGAGCTCACCTTCGTCCAGGATTGTATCTACCAACAGCCTCTTCACTTCAGCTATCGACACACGGAGTTGCTGGGACAGATATTGCAATCGTATTCTTGTGTATGGCTTGATCAATCGCAACAAGACCTGGTTAATCTTTCATTTATCAGGTGCTCCACCGAGACTGTGAATAAGCCCACCTGTGTTCGGATATTAGTCAAAAGCTCCTCGATGTGCTCTCGAATGAATGGATCTTGCATGATGCTTTCGCGATTTCGTTCCAGAATTCTTTGAAACTCGTCTATGTTGTTTTCTTGATAAGCAGCGACCATTGCGGTCATCGCAACAATTTCTTGTTCGTTCTTAAAGACAACATAGTAACGCACGGACTAAGAAGTTATAAGATAAAGTAGAATCGGATATGCTACCTTGAACGGTTTAGCCTCTTGACTGTCGAAGGGGTTGATATCAGATTTGATAAGCATGTTGGCCAGAACCAGATACTTCAAACAAGTGATTCTTCTCGGTGATCCGCTTTCGTCATAGTTCTTGAACGCTTCAAAGAAATCCGTGTGCGCCCGATCAAACTGACCTTCACGTAGATGCATTTTACCTCCGCACTCTAAAAAATATGTAAGGCAATGCAACAAAAATAAAAATCTGTAAGTAAGGCATTTGCAAAATAGACTATTTGAGAAGAAAACGCTGCATACATACCCCTAATTACACCAAGGATAAGAGGGTGTGGAATTGCCGACTTCGACTGTATAGCTTGCTGAGCTTGCTCGTACAGCTTTTTAAGGGCCTGAGTATTCATGATTAGATTCATAAGGACCTAGCACACGCGTGAAGAGTATGATATATGGTGTACAGAAAAGACCGTGCGACAATTATTAGAGCTTACCTTGTTGTTTTTCTGCTCGGTATACATCTGTATCTCGAGAGCGTAGATTTCCAACAATTGCGTTCCCTTCTTCTGATCTTCCTCCCCTTGTTCAGTCTAAAATTCATTATTGTTGATATGCCAAGCAATAAGAGCGTAAAATTGAAAGAATGACGAAAATCGATTGGATTGAGCCAAATTCGAAGTCAAATAAGGAAAAGTAAAATTATAAAGCAAGAATGACAACGGAAATCCGATTCACATAATCAAAGTACTGTATTTCGTCGAATTGAAAACTTACCCTACAAGAGTTCTTCAACTGCTTCAAGATCCTCTCCAATTTCTGAAATTCGTGCATATCGAAGTATAGCTTCCCTAATTTAGTATTTGTCTTAAACCACAGCCTTTCGTTTTTTGCATCCTGAAAAAAATCCAGAAATGCAACGGATGATTCAATAAACCAAGCATTAAAAGTGATTTAAGGGCATAAAAAGATATAATCAAAGAAACCTTTAGCGCATCTAACGTGGTTTCGTAGAATTTCTGCAATAGATCCATTTGCTTGGAGGTCGAGATGTAGTCTAATATGGCGTTGATCGACTTCTCGGAGTAGTTCTTTGTGACTGCTGTCTTGATATATTTCAACAACTTTTGATAATACTGTAGCATTGCTTCGAATTGACCCTGAACTACTACATTAATATTAGCAAAACAGAAATGGGGAAGGAATATTATCACATACCGTGTTAAATGTGATTTTAACCATTTGTTTCAAGGCTTTGAAACCCCATTCGCCCATTTCCTGCTCCAAATTCAGCACCTGAAGTTAGATTATGCTCGGTAAACCGGCTGGCTTTATCTAAACTCACTTTCTCGAAGCTGGCGATTGCTTCAGCAATTTTGCCTTCACTTTTTAGCCCTTTTGCAGTGTAGTACTGATTCTCGAGATCAACATCTGGTTCACTTCCACTGTCATCCTCATACTCCTCAAATGAATGACAAAGTTTGCACGGGTATAAAAGAAAAGATGTTGAGGAGAAATCTGCTCGAAAATGTGCTGAAACTCACAAAGCCATAATCCTCATCATCGTCCATAAAGTCGTCACCCATGATGATACTACCTGCAAAACTTTTCATGTGCAATCTCATCTGCCAAAGATTAGAAAAAAACAACGCAACAAAAACACGGCAAAAAACCTAGTGGATTCACTTTACTCTCACGTCTCTTCGAAGTTTTCTTTGGATTTCAAACTTCTTTAGTTTATATGTGATAATCAACTTCTAAAGATGCTCAAAACAAAGTTTACAGCAAAGTTCATTGAATTCTGAGAATCAACAAAATTTTGTAATTAAAGGTTCGAAAGAAAATTGGGGCTGGAGCACGCCAGTGGCAGGCCATCGGTCATTGTTTTTTTTTCACTTCCGGAACTATACCAGTTTGAACTTCTCTTCCACATTCATCTCAACTTTGTTTGTTTATCATTATTTCGGACTATAAGCTTTGTATAGTATCTTAGATGCACAAAGACAACGTTTAGCATAGCGAACGCGAAGTTTAGAGAAATGGGTGGGTTGTACAAAATGTTTGGTATGTCGTCTCGAAAATTTCGTTCCCAAAAATTCCCCAATCCTTTGTAAGCTTTCGAGTCCAAAGAATTGTTTTTATTATCGAAATAGATTCATTTAAGCAGTTATAATCTTTACAAATTCCGGTCCTAATACAACTAGTTTGTTAGCGAGAATAATTAGTTTTGCACAATTACTAGATCGTTTGATATCGCTAGAGAACTATGGCGATAGATTCGCTAAATTACTCGATTCACGAAAAGTGATAGACTTGCCCGCACGGATGTCTGGCGCGTCGCTGCAGCGGTCGCAACCGATGCATGGGCTGCGTTGACTGAATTCAATCTGAGCTGTAAATATCTAAATTAATGTATCCTTCAAGTGGAGGAAAGCGATTGCGGGGAAAATCTCGATCGTTAGAGAATATTCTCCTGGATATGGTAGTGGACACTTGAAAGGGATTATACTGCGCGAAGGGAGATTGTTGTTCTCTCTCTTTCCTATAGTGCTAGAGTTGTATTTGTACAATAGTAAGATCACGCGGTCCGTGCTTATAAATTTTGGTTCTTCAAAACATTTGGAAATACTAGACATTTCCTTGTATCTAATTGGATGTTCTTATATCTTGTTGATAGGTCAAATCAGAATCTGAGAGATATTGGATGTCATTTTTACTAAGTTACATGAATAAAATTTGCGTTTTGTGACCTTCTTCTCTTTCCGTTTTTTTCCTTAGGCCCTGGTCAGACTTCGCTCAAAAACGCCCAAAAGCGCCCAAATTTCTCTGGTGTCTCTTCTTTCTCGTGTGAGGAGAGATGAGAGAGATTGAGGAGAGGTTAGGGAACGGCCATAGGTTGTCGGTGTTGTCGATGTTGTCGGTGTTGTCGATGTTGTCGGTGTTGTCGGAGTTGTCGGGGTCAGAGACGGGGAACGGTCAGGAGTCACGGTCGGCGCGAATTTTTCGCGAAGCGATGCCGCAAGCGATGTCAGCAAAACAGAAGCCAGCACTCCTGGCGCAGTCTTACGTATGGCACGAGCCATGTATCTGCCCCCACCCCCCACCCCCCTAGACTGGTGCCGTGCCACTTTAGCACCGGGCAGTTTTATGGGGTACAAAACTTAGACGCGACGTGTGCGGCGAAGCGGCGCGGCGCGCGGCGTGACTCCTGACGTGGAGCCTCAGAGACAGTTTAGAGAGCGCGCGAAACGTGGAGGCTATTATGAGGTCCTACAACGACCGGCAACCTCGGCAAACCCGACAACATCGACAACACCGACAACACCGACAACATCGACAACACCGACAACCTATGACCGTTCCCTTAGAGAAGTTTGGCGCTTTTGGGCGCTTTTAAGTGAAGTCTGGTCGGCGCCTCACAGTCACTGCCACCTGATAGAACTTTCCAAAAGAATTCTTTTAGATTCCATGCTGACATCGGCATTCTGTGATATTAATGATGTATAGAGGGAGGCTCCGGTCATGTTCGCTGAGTCATTGGAGTCTCCTCGACTGTGCACATTCATTGAGATGTCATCTGAATTTGCAGCAAACATGCAGGTTTGGTTTTCAAATAAGTTTTCTTTCATTCTTTTTTGCGTTGCGTTATAGTAGTGTGGATTATCCTAAGCACTGTTATCTGTATTTTATGACTTTCAAGCAGCTCACTAAGGCTTTCGCAGCTCGTGGCATGTTTACCTGTCTACCTTTTTCAATTTGTTATCCAAAGATTGTGGTTGAGTCACGCTTGATTCATGTCATGGTCTTGCTCGGTCGAAAAGTCTAGGAAAGCTAAAGGCATCCCTTTGTCCATTTCATACACCTCTATCGAGTAATAATGTACGCAAGTCAGTATTTTGGATATTTCTCGGTCATTTGTGTCATGTAAATTTAAGTTCACCTTTTGACAGTTTTTTGCAAATGTTTAGCTGTTCAGTAAGCAAAAATTCAAAAAAAAAAACGCCATAATTTGCAAGGCCCATGAAAAAAATGTCGGAAACGTGACAACTTTGCTTTTTGGTTTTTTTTTTCTTTCTCCTGATCTTTTCCATCCTAGCCCTTTCTATCTTTGTTTGTGGTATTGGCTTGCGGCTACAAGATAGGCCACTTACCATTCATAATAACAAACTTCAAGGGAGGAGTAATGATTCGTCAAAACGAGGTTTAAAAACAAAATTTTTTGTTTTTATTCCATGTTTTTATCCCGTTTATGATATATTGCGAAAGTGTTGCTCCTTCTGATGATCTTTACAGCACTGAGAAACACCAACCTAGTACATTCCGTATTGCGTCGTTCTATCATCTAGGCTGTTTCATTCCGTCTGTCAATTATTTGTCATATGATGATAGTCAAGCATTTTCATTGTCATCAAAGTCTCTGTATCATCATCGATTATTTTGATATGATTATTGAATGTTCATAAGGAATTGTAGGGCTTCTTCTTACGAACATCCGCGACGGAAGCGCAATTATTATGAAGTCCTCGGAGTTAGAAAAGATGCCACACAAAAGGAAATCAAAGCTGCTTTCTATGCCAAATCCAAGCAGGTACTTATTCTTGATTTTTTTCTTCTGTAAAAATCTTCCTCCTATATAGCTTAATCTTTATATGACTGTTTGCTTCGTATGACCATGTTGTCAAAATTGATCTTTAATTCATACTAGCTGGCGCTGCTCCTTTCCTTTCCCTATCCAGTGCCAGCTTCTAACTCCAGAACAAATGTTGAAAAATTCGTAGAAAAAGAGTTGTGGAGAATGAAAATGAGTTTACTAGTCGTTCATCCCGTGAAAAGTGAGCAGCAGCGTTTTGGATTGCATATATTTCAAATTTACAGTTACATCCGGATAATAAAGGTAATGGCGACTCCACAGCTGAGTTCGTGGAACTCAAAGAAGCTTACGATAACCTACGGCGACCAGCGGATAGACGTGCTTACGACATGGGCGGTCATGATACTCACAGTCAGAATACCACGGATCCTTACACTCATCGGCATTATTATCAGTACTACCACCAACGGGATCATGATAGGTGATTATCGTGGATGCTAAGCATTCGTTACATCACCTTATCTCTTTTATCGAATTTTCATATTTTGAATCAATAGCTTTCAATTATTGTTTGAATTTATTCAGTTAATTGGATAGTTTAAGTCAACACTCAGTTATAAAAATACGGTTGTTCACCTTGCGCTCAGAGTTCAACCCCCGAATCATTGGCACTATTCCAGGGAGTGGGCTCGCTACTGGGGTGCAAAACCCGGCGCAGCTGGAAACGCTTCTGATTCGCCTTTTCAATCGCGTTCGCAGCAGGAGTGGGGTTTCATCTTGAAATGGTCTGCGTTTGCGATTACTCTGGTTGTTTTGTACAATGTGGGCTATTTGTGAGTATCGTTCTATCCTATTCTCCATTTCTTTTTTATATTTATCGAAATTGCAGAATCCAACTAAGAAATCAGGAACGTCGGCTTTCCAAACTGATAGACGAGCAAGAGATAGCGAAGTCATTTATGAGGCAGCGTGAATTTAGGGATAAAGACTTGGATAATGTGGAGGTAAGTTGTGTAAACTTATATTCATTTACTCATTCCGGTTTTATCTGATGAGCCACATCTAGCATTCCATGCATGTGCTTCAAACTGCGAGTTTGCCCGGACACTGCCTTCAAAGGCAGTGTCCGGGCAAACTTGCAGTTTGAAGGTCGAATTTGAGTTTTTGTGCTCACTCGGGCCTATTTGCTATGCTGAATCCGAAAATCCACATTCGAAAACGCGAAACGGCGAAAAATGGCTCTAACGCGAGGGAAGCAGCAAGTGGGTGGGGTCCTCTCCACTGTGTATTCACGGTCCAGCTTCCGGAGCGGTCTTCTCGGTTCCGGTTTCAAGTCAATCGTTCGAACTTGGCCGGTGGTGATGTCAGGGCGGCTAGCGGAGCAAGGAGATCGCTCCGGAAGTTGGGAGCATGAATTCACAGTGGGAGGACCCCGCCCATTTGCTGTTTCCCTCCTGCGTTAGAGCCCTTTTTCGCCGTTTTCGCACTCTACAGTGTGGATTTTCGGATTCACCATAGCGAATAGGCCCGGGTAAGCACAAAATCTCAAAATCGACTTTTTGCCCGGACACTGCCTTTAAACCGCAAGTTGATTTCCTTGCGTAATTGGAGACACAACTGAATTGTGAAAATAATCTGTTTTGCAGATGTATGAACTTGCCAGGAAGCTAAAAGGAGATATAGATGAAGCATGGAAGAGGAAAGTGGAAGATATGGCTGGGAAAAATCCCAATGAAATTCGTGAAGAGTACAGGTAATTACGGTCTTCTCTTCTAGTCGTTTCCATTTGGATTATTTTCTTGCTAGTTTTCACAGTCTTTTTTTTATCATTTATCATCTGATTTCTGGGAAGTGGGTGGTGTTTATAGGTGGCTTCGCGCGGTTCAGGATAGAAGTCATAATCGTCGAGTTAGAGCCAGGCGAGCAGAACAACTCAGAAAAGATCAGGAAGCGGAAAGGTCTTCTACTAAGGTTCCCGATGACGAGTAGGCTAAGTAGCCTTTCACATTTTTTTCTACAGACTATGCTCACTTTTTTTCTTGTATATGTGCCACCAAGGTTTACCCTTTTCATCTAATTAGGAGAACTTATGACAATGTGTTTAATTTCTTTTGAACTGAATTGGATAGCCATTGTCTAGCGCTCAGATGTTTGAGAACACACTGATTGTTATTTATCTTAGCGTTTATTAACATCAAACTTTATATGCAATGGATTCCGTTACTAGCCATCTACTAGGTTCTGTAGTGTGTGATCCATCAGTTTTTGCGCTGTTTGCGTATGTGCGGGTTTTAGGTCTATGACGAGTATCGAGCCTAGTTGTAGATTACATAGTTTTACATGCTACAGCATGAATAAAAATGCCACGATACGTTTGCAGTCACTGTGTGAAATCCACATTTATGTGGGACATTGTTTATTTCTTTTGATAAGTCATTGTATATTTCTTTCCCAAAATTATTGGAGTTGTACAGACATGATGCGAGTTGTTGAGCAGATATCAAATATGGCAGGGAAGATCGTTCTAATTACAGGGTCAACCAGTGGTTTGGGTGAGAGTTTGTTTTATCAGCTTAGTTTTTTTCTTATTTTTCTATTTTTCTGGAGTTTGCGGCAAGATTTTCTTTCGTCAGCAGTATCTAATCTTTTTGATGAACTGAAGCGCCGGAACATTCAATTATTTTAGGCTTACACACCGCAAAGAATCTCTATCTTCGAGGTGCTACCGTAATCCTCACTTGCCGAGACGAGGTTCGGGGTCGAGCGGCTGTAGAAGCTGTCCACATGCAGGGTGATACAAACGATGAGTCTCAGCCATGCCGAATATATCTCTTTACTGTAGGTGCATCTTGTTTCTTCCCAGTCTCGCTCTAGCTTTATCTACAGCTATGTTTGAGATTTAAATTCGTTTGAGATTCAAATTCCGCTTTTTGCTTTGTAATTGGCGATGCTATAAAAGACGGAGTCATCACTTTCAGCTGGATCTCGCATCATACAAATCAATTCTTTCATTCTGCATGGAGATAAAAGCAAATTTTGATCATATCGATGTTCTCGTAAACAATGCCGGCGTTATGGGTCTACCATTTGAGGTAATTTCATAATCCATTATTTTCATTTGCTACGTAAAGAATTTATTCGATCACTTCTTCTTGAAGGCTCGTATTTGCAGTTGTCCAGAGATGGTGTCGAGATGCATTTTGCAACAAACGCATTTGGTCATTTCGTATTGGTAAACAATTTGTTGCCGCTGCTGGAGAAGAGCACTGACGGCAGAATTGTTATCGTCTCTTCTGGATTGTATAAGGGAGTAAGTTTTTGGGGAAGCCGTTATTTCGCATAAGCTGGGTCATCAAATCTATTAACACGTTGACCATCGCGCCATTTTGGACAAAACTCACACTAATGTCCTTCGCGCATTCGGCCCGTGCATACGCGCATATGCACGAAAACATTGTGTGGGAGTCTTTTTGACACTTATTCATAAAACATGCAAACTATGTTCAGAGAAACATGTACATCACAGAGTCTTACTAGGACTTACACAAATCAAGGTTTTTGCCTTGATTTTTCTTAAAATAAACCATGCAATGGCTATACATGAGCAATTCTTTTTCGAGAAAAGCGTTCTGATAACAAGTTTTTTGCCTGATTCATCCTTGTTTGCTTTCAAAACAGCTTTACAGAGTTTCCACCTTCTCGGAAAAACGTAATTGAAATGTATTTACCACAGCAAAAACGGACATACAACCCAGTTTTGCGGCCAGAACTTCTGAACAGCTGCCGCGATGCCCTGTGTTCTGTAAGACAATCAGGGCACCAATATTACTGCATAAAAGTTGGCTTAAAACTTTTCGTTTACACCCAAAAAACTAGCATGCATATGCGCGGATGCACGAAAATGCTAAACGGGAGTCAGGGCGTACATACGTGCGTATGCACAAGGTCGTCAACGTGTTAAATGCGCTTTTTAACAAGCCCTCAAGAACATCAATTTTTGTCATTTTTCGTATCTCTCAATCTTTTTTGTCCCCACCCCGCTTTCTCAGCTCTTTCTTCAAGATGTATCTTAGGACAGATCACTTCCTGCAAAGCAAGCTCTGTTTGCTTTAGGTGAATCACATTCCCACGCTGCGACAACTAATGGGTGAACAAGACTGGGATTATCAGCCACGATTTGCATATGGTCTTAGCAAGCTGGCTAATTGTTTACATGCTGTTGAGTTGGCAAGGTGAGTGGCTATTATCTCAGGAACTACATCTACAATACAATTTTGACGCCTTAATTTTGAACATGGCAGATCTCGTCAATCAGTCCTGTTGTCCAATTTTTTGAAGTCTTTGCTCATCAATCACTGACACTTCATACCAGATTATCTGCATTTTCAGGCGATTAACTGCAAATAAATGTTCTACGAAGGTTTACGCTCTTCGGCCCGGCTTCGTTGGCGGTACTGAACTGGGTCGTGAAACACATTGGCTTTTACGTACATTGGCCTCGCCACTTATTTGGCTTTTCTCAAAAAATCTTGATGAGGTTGGTTTGGACTTTCTATTACCGATCTACAGATATGGTGTTGGCTTAATTGAACTTTTTTAGGGTATTGAATCTATTGTGAATTGTGCAGTCACACCAAATGACGAATTGACCTCCGGTGCTCTGTACTATGCTTGCCATGAGGAGGAGTATGGTCCTATGGTCACACCGGTACGCAGTGCCAAGCCTATTGCTTACCTTAGATTTCCTATTTCATCAATGTTTCTAGGGAAATGTTCATAAAATGTGGAATATATTCACTGAAATGGAAAATTTGATCTTAAAAAGATCTCATATTCTGTCTGATGAAGAGAGAGCGCAAGCTGAAGTTGGACGAAAAACCTTACCTGTTGATACTTAGGTAATAACCGTTGACTGTTTCTCTTTATATTTCGGTACTTATACTTTTGTCATTATCATTTTTTGACTCAATGTCAGCTCTTAACAATATGTGCTCACAGAATGATGAATAACATTTTCATAGCAAGCTTCGCGTCTGCCAAAGAAACTTTTGGTCAGCAGAGCAATAGGTTCATGCTCACTAGACCAGTGAACTTATGTGATTCATTAGCTTACTTCTTGACTCTAATACTAATCAAAGAAATGTAGTAACTTTACTTAATAAGATATCTAACCCATAGTTTTTCTGCCATTTTTGCCCTATTCTAAATCAAATTTTTCTTCATACTTTCCTTTTTCGATTCCTGCGTGCTTATCGAAGTCCGATGATTGTGTGATATCAATTGCCTCACCATAAGCTATGTTGCAGCTTTGGAAATTTTCAATCTCAATAAATCTAATTATTAGCTTACAGTTGTTTCATAGTCGCAAATTATTATCATCATATATGCAAAGTTAAGTCATCGAATTTATATCGATTGTGCGAAGTGTGCTTGGGGCTGTCTAGGGCTGCGTCGCCAGCGCAAACACGGCTGCAATTGCAACCATTGCGCCGTATAGTTAGTGCCCTATTGTTGCACACGCAAGTGTCGACTCTTATGAAGTGCATCATTCACATTGAAACCTGAAAATAAACTCAGTTCATTATTTTTTAAATTGAAACATGACCAAAAATGCAGTTTTTCAGCAAGGAGCAATGCTCTAATAAATATACATCTTATGTGCTCTAGCAATTTTATGGAAATTCTACCATTTTTTATCGCTAAAAATGGCTGTAATTTCTGAGAAAGTGTGGATCTTATTTTTTTTTCCGCGCAAGTGTTGTTGAGACACCGAGATACGCTACATCATTAGGAAGATACACTGCACCATACAAAAACACGGATTACTCATTCAGGCAGTATGTAACATACTGTCATGTGCAGCGATAAAACACACTTTTTTGAGACACATCTGCATAGTTGCGTTTTATGTCCTGCAGCTGCAGACATATCAGCTCGTCTTTTACGTTCTCCCTGTTTTTTTTCTCCAGACTTTCGAGGCGATTTTGATCGCTTATATAAATTTTGTCTAGTATATGTCAAAGATTGTAATCCAGGAACAGCGTTTTTCCAGAATTTTGGAAATCTCAGTATACGCCAAAAAATTCTTTTTTGACTCATTATATGTTGCCGTCTACGTGGACCCCAAACAGTTACCCAGTATTCTGAGGTGTCTCTGGGGTAGAGACGAAGCGCGGGCGGGGACCACACAATTTTATGAAATTGAGCCGATAGTTAAGCTGTGATTCAACTGGATAGACGGCTGGAAGGCGGGGCTTTGTGACCTTATTAAGGCCGCTCGCGCCCGCGACGCAGTCTGCGTCTCTCTCGCGCGCGTGCTCTCTCATCATCCTCTAGCGTTAACTAGGCCACAAAGCCCGCCTTTCAGCCTCCAATGCAGTTAAAGTAAAGGGTACATCCTCAATTCCAAAAAAAATTTTTTTGTGAGCTCATGATTGTAACATTTTGGAAGAAAAGTAGAGTAGCGTTTTCTAATTATATTTGCGATCATATTTTCAGCCTTTCTGAATGCAAAAATTTCTAACTACTGACAAATAAACCAGGTCTGTTGGGTGTTTCCATTCACCTGGATCACTTTAGCCCCCTCCTCCCATCCGTCTTCCTCTGCATCTTTTACAATACTTACATATGATGCAGTGGCGGTCCCAGGACTTCCGTCCGGGGGGGGGGGGAGAGAGGACAAAAAATTTTTTCAAATGAAGGTGCTTGTCGTCAGCCACGCACTCCGAAATAATTTTAAAGGTGCTTCTCAAATTTTTTGTCGGTTCCCAACCCCAAAATTCTGGGAAAAGGGGCGTGGCCCAGCCACTAAGGCTAATTGAATTCTTGATAAGTTCAATTATTTTGATTCCTTACAAGAATAAACAAGTTATTTACACTTTTTTATAACTCATGTAAGTAAATTTCAAAAGTTTTGCGACTTATCCCCCCCCCCTCGGTTCCCCACTCATATGATGTTATAAAGACGGTAGATTTCCCTTCTTTCTCGGTCTCTCCCCCCCCCCCCCTCTCCAGGCGGAAGTCCTTAATCGTTGTCATAACATGTAAATTATTTTGACTAGCATACCTATAGGTATTATCTCCACCCTATAGGGTGGAGATAAAGTAAATTGATGATTAAATAAGTAAATAAATATACACTAGACTCGTACGAATTTCTTTCAACATGAGTTATAGTTGCCATATTTTAGAAAAATGTATCAATAGCTTCAATTTAAGAAGACTGAAGTGAATTGTTCTCTGCTTTTTAAAGCAATGACAACTTCGTCGCGGAATTTTGAAAGAAGTTGCCTATCATAAATCAAGTGCAAAAAACTAAGATTTCTCTACAAATCTGATCTCTGAATTACCATGTGTTACATTACCTACAAAACTTTTACAGTGAGTCGAACGCTTCAGAGTAGCTTTCTGTCTCAGGCTTTACAGGCTGCTCGCGTCCGTGCAAATTATTGTCTCGGACCCCTCGTTAACCCTTTATCATAGGCGAAGAACATGCAGTATGAGTTTTACAGTGTTTGCTCACATACGTGAGACGACTAATAGGAGCGCTGGTGTCATGGCGATCAAAAATCTTTTGAATATTAGGTCGGTCCAATTTCTGTTGTTTCATTTTTGAAAATCGTAATTTCTCACTATCTGGATGGATTTGCGCTGTAATTTCATTGGAAAGAGAAAGCCTTTTACTTTGTAGTACTGTCTTAGTGAGTTTTGCCCGAACACTGGCTGCAGAGATGAAATCAGATGAAGAAGATCATTCAAGGATGAAGAAGATCATATAAGTATTGGTCATTTTAAGTTAGGCGCCGAAAGTCTGGAAATTGCAGAAAGTTCTGGAATTGTCAGTACATAAGTTTTACTGCTACTGTTTCCAGCTGTGAAAAGTTTGTGCTCAGCACATTTTTAAGAAAATTTATAATTTTTGGAAAACAGACAAAAGAAAAACTAAAAAAACTAGAAAACTAAAAACTAAGAAAGTGAATTGAAAAAGCATAAATTTTTGTAAAAATATCCGATAAGCACGCTATAAAAGTTATGTACTAATGATTTCGGATTTCTCTGCAACGTTTTAGATTTTTGGCTACCTAACAATTTTATCTCTGCAACCAGTTTTTTGGGAAGAAAACTGCTAAGACAGCGCTATTAATTGAAGGCTTTTTCTTTCCAGTAAAATTACAGCAAGCAAATCTGTCCAGTTAGCGAAAAATTACGATTTTCAAAAATAAAACGAAAAAACTTTTGGAGGGACCTAACAGCTTCTCAGTAAGCATTATTACCACAATAAAAACAACAAGGTTTTTTCAGGATACAAAAAAAATTTTGACAGTTTCTTCTGTCAAAATTGTTTTGTGACTGCTTGTTTCTCTCTACTCTTTAGGTCCATCTTAGAAAAATTCGAAATAAACCTTTGAAAAAAATTTTTTTTTCACTCTCTGCTCTTGGTTGACGCGTTCAAAGATATGCTGGTACTTTGGAATTGAGCTAAAATCTTTCAAAAATTATTTCGCTATATTCTTCACACAGCTCGAAATAAAATATCTGCTCTCAGCACGCTCATGCTTTCAAGTGGAAGTCGCCTAAGTGGATTTGCAAAGAAAATTTGTAACAAAGGAAAAACAAGTCGATGCTTTTAGTTATAAAAGTAGCATAAAAGCTTACTGAGAATTTCTCCTTTACAATTGGAAACTAAACATCAGCAGTATTGTCGACATATGGCCAAATAAGAGAAAACTGGTTTTTACAGATTAAATCGGATCTTGGTTGACCATGGCGGTCACGTGACATGTAGTTTTTCCACATTTCATTTTTTTCATACTCTTGTCTCGTTGGAATAACTCCCCCTATAAGACTTCCGGATAGTGCCATTACTAACCACGCTATACGTCTGTGGCCATATACGAAAGTACAAACCCCCGACAAAAAGGTACTTCACTTCTTTTCGTCTACTCAACCGATGATTATGGCATCAATTTTCCTCAGTTTCTGCACTGCAACTCGTTCGACTGGTTTGCTTTTCTTATAAACCGTAATGCTTGAGTATAGCGATCATGAATATGAAAGTAATAATTAGCTCAAGATGATGCAATTAATTGCAGTAGAGCGGACAAATAGCTTGGATAGAAGAGGGAAGAAGAGCTTTTAGACAGCCTAAAATCTCTTCCAAAGCTGTGTGGAGGCCTTCATTATTTTAGCTGCGGAAATAGCAATAGTTCATGATTTTGAGATATAGAAACTATTAGGTTGATGCAAAAGTTCTTTCCCCACATTTTCAAAAATTCATAACTTCCGATTTTTTTAACCAATTTGGCTGCATTAATTTTTGTATGAAAGAGTAACTCATGCTCTTCATAATGACATCTTAGCTGCTTGCTAACGATCATCTGTTTCATTGGTAGCAGCGGTAGAAAAAAATTAGTCAAAATTCGAATTTTCTGTGTAGGGTCATAAAAAATAGGAGGCTTGCAAGAAAAATCGGAGCAGTCAGTATTGTAGGTTCTTTTACCAGCTCTTTCTAATGGTGCAAAGTTTGCACCGATTGAGCGTCTCTATCAAAAGTTACAATTTCCCTGAAAAATGCCAAAATAAATCAAATTCGCCCTTTTGTATTGCTTGCTCGAAAATCACAACTTTTGATAGGGATGCTCAATCGCTGCAAACATTGCACCATTAGAAAGAGCTGGTAAAAGAACCTACAATACTGACTGCTCCGATCTCGCAAGTTTCCGATTTTTTATGACCCTACACAGAAAATTCAAATTTTGACTAATTTTCTTTTACAGCTCCTATCTATACAACAAATGATCACTAGCAAGCAGCTAAGATGTCATTATGAAGAGCATGAGTTACTCTTTCACACAAAAATAGATGCAGCCAAATTGGTTGAAATATCGGAAGTTATGAATTTTTGAAAATGGGGGGAAAGAACTTTTGCATCAGCCTAATATATGAGCAGTAAAATTACAACGTTATCCTAAAATGCTCAACTATTATAA